CGGCTATCTCTGCCATGGCCTGGACGAAACCATCCTCATCATCTGGATCGAGGATCTAATGTGAGCATCCCACTGTAGTGGATACACTCTATATGCTACAACTTACAAAGCCGTGCTCTTCGTGCTTGACGATCTCCGGGATACCTGCAATTCCTGTAGTGATCACGGGTAGCCGTCTGAGCATTGCCTCAGGCAAGACCTACATACAGCTGGGTACCAGAATGAATGACCAAGTGTTGGGTAGTAGTCGTGTGTATCACCAGCGGAGTGACCTCATTCAACGATGCGAATACTAAAGCATCAGCAGTTCTGTAGTATCTAGAGAGGAGTGTAGGATCTAAGCGTCGATGATGCTTCGACTACGAGTCGGGATCATTAGTAACATCATGCAGTGATATCCGTGGATCACCTGCTATGACTTCTTCTACCTGTAACAGATGACCATGCTCATATCAACGGTATGGAATCGAGTACCTCGTTAACATATTCGATTTCATAATCCCTGATCTTACGGACGCCCACGATAACGAGCCGAACCTGGACCATGTGGACAGTCGTGGTAGACTAAGCAATCCGGCAGTGACAATTACTACATCTTGCCTGTCTCCAGCAAACTTCTTGAATAACTTTACTACTGTAACCTGATTTTTCCGCGGACACACAATGCCCATACAGAGGAAAGTGCATGCCACAGAGGGATCCCTCGAGGATGGGTACGCAGAGGAAGAAAGTCTCGGGTCAGGCACCCCGACATAGCTGAAATATTGCTTCATGTCGGGTGATCTCCATGCGCCGTGCTTCTCTTACACTATTTGTTTTGGGCACTTTATTGGATAAACATCAGCCTGTGCCCTACACACGCATATGACCATACTACACACCTAAAGTTTTAGGATGTGGATGAGGCAGCAACTACTGTGAAGGCCAACATCGTCACTTGTAGAGCATGATCCACAGTGGAAGCATCCATATAGGTAACCTTACGAGCTGAAAGCTCTCGAACCTAGTCACAAATTCGTCTATGTATTAAGCACGACTGGAACGCTTGGATCAGTCATCTCACCATCATATCCCTTGGCCACCATTCATGTAAGATCCACATGTGTGGAATACCGCGATTAGCAAGGTCTACCACGACATGGGCTGTCATTATCGTGTTACATACCACAAGTCTAATATCTCTAATGTAACCTGATAACTCACGCTCCAAATAGAATAGAGACAAAACCGTATTCACGGAGTAGGGAATCTAATGAGCCAATCCTAACGGCACATCCTGCTGCTTGGAAGAGTTTCTCGAAGGGGCCAGAACTCGGAGAGAGTACCTTACTAAGACTATGGACCAAACCGATACATTCATAAATACCATGATATTGCCATTATAAAACCCACCATTGACCATGTTCAATAATACCTGGTTCGCTCCCGAGACGGCAAAGTTTTGTGTGACAATAAGACATGTACCATACATGTCGGCAGAAGAGAGGACAAACTTATAAGGACTTCTTATCCTAGTTGAATCGTAACTCCCTGACCACCCGTAGAGACCTTCCTGGTGAAAGTGCGGTCTACTTACTTTTGACTCTATCGACTATCCATGATCAAACTCAAACCATTACGAATAGGCAGAAACCCGATGCATCCAGGTCAAACTCTCGTAAGGATAGAATTAGCAATAAAGCTCCACTAAACAACACTCTTTACGAGCCGAGCCGAGCAAGAGATACCATCAACAATAGGATGGCACGAGATGATAGCTCAATAGTAGTTATCATACCCGGCTATTACGATTCTTGAGTTATCGATATTCGCGAAAAAAACATCATCACAGAGAGTAGCTATACGCAATCTCCATGGTGAGAATTGAATGTAATTAGTTACCGAAAGAGAGATCACGGAAAGGATCCTCAGCAGAGCTATCATTCATAGTGATCTCACCACGGATATTAACACCGAAGTCATTAGCGATATCGGCGGTCTTCATACCAGCACCCAACATGTAGCTGAGTTTCGTCACAGCAGCCTCAGGAGTCATATCACCACCACTGATGATACCAAGATCAAGAAGCTGAGCTCCAGCAGCGTAGTCAGCGAGCTCAACAACACCCCGAAGAACTTGAGAGACAGCAACAACTGGCACGTCACGATCTTGGCACTCAACGAGGAAGTCAGTGAAAGCGACCTGGTTAGAAGGAGCATCGCCAGTGCCATAGAGCATAAGAACAACACCCTTAACAGCCTCAGGGGAGAGAGACTCGAAGCTGGTGAGACCGGGGATGACTCTGATGGGGAGAATGGAAGATTCCATATTTGACTGGACGGCGAAAGGACCAGTGGGAGCGGGGAGGACGAGCTCCTTATCGAAGGCAAGACCGACACCCATGGTAGCAAGATAAGGGAACTTGGGGGACTCGAAGGCCTCGATAGCACCACTATCAATCTTAACAGCACGGGTACCACGAATAAGCTCTGTGTCGAAGAAGATGCTCACCTCAGGAATGGTGTAGAGACCAGCGAGCATAATAGAAATGACCATATTCCTCCTGGCATCACTATGAGGTTCATCGAAAGCAAGAATAGAACCAGTAACAATAACACTCTTTGAAAGATTAGAGAACATGTAGTCGAGAGCACCCGAAGAATAAGCCATAGTATCAGTACCATGGAGGATAACAAAGCCATCATAATCCGCGTAGTTATCCTCAATAGTCTTAGCCATCTGAGCCCAGTGAGCGGGGGACATATCGGAGCTATCAATGAGGTTCTCATACTCGATAACATCAAATGCAGGCATTCCAGGAGCTTGGAGCTCAGGAAGGTTGTTGAGCTGCTCAGTAAGGTAACCAGGTACAGGATGAAGAGTACCATTAGCATAAGGCAGCATGCCTATAGTACCACCGGTGTAGATAACGAGGACCTTCCCAGGTGCATGTCTCTCCATAGGACTATAGACAGGTCTCAGGACCTCATCATCACAGTCACCACCCTCAGTCGGTTGGAAACAGAATCCCTTACCCTTCTGATAGAAGCCATAGCAAGCACCATCATCTTGAGAGTAAGACCCGAACTTGGAGTAATGGCAAGGAGAGTATGAATCACATAACTCCTGGCACCACTCGGCAGAAGCGGCACCAATTAGAGAGAGGGCGAAGAAAGAGAAGAAACGCATGCCGGCAATTGCCAATAGAAAAAACTGGGATCAACGGCATAAGAAGTTCTTATTAAGAACAGCAACCTCTACCGAGAAAGACATTTTAAGTCCACACTTAAAACACCAAGTCCGTTAGACCTGGGAAGGACATCCGCTGTACAGCGCGCGATTGAGCTCAGCTTGGCAAGGATGCACTCTCGATGATATCCCTCTAGCCATGAGCTTGAAGATATTACAGTAGATTCTTGGTCTGACTGCACTCAAGAAACAGTTAGGATTCATTATACCGAGAGTATACGCTCCTGCCCAAAGTTTGGGCCTCGTAGATTATTCCACACAGATCTCAGGAATTAGATGAAAAGAATCAATATTAAGAGATACCAAAGTTCATTCCACCAAGAGCATCATCTTTCACTTCATGATCTTTAAGATTAGCTTGTGACTCATATACGCTCACTACTGCTGACCGTTTCGTACCTGCCAGGATAATACTCACCATACAAAAATGAGGTGACTTTTACCGCTAGCCACCCCCTTTATCCCTATCCAATGGATGATAGTAGAAATATCATCCTCATCGTCATTCTCAACTTCAAGCCTATTGTTCGCGGCAAAATGCATAGATAAAGACGAAACATGCGCGAACTTGGCGACCTTTACTGGATACTCCACAGCCCCGCAAAAGTCCTCGATGAGATCTAATGCCTACTGAGATTATGAAAGAGTTGGAAAGACAGTCAATACGACTACTCACCTGAGTCTCCCATC